CGTGCGGTTTGATTCCACATTTTTCTTCCATTCTATCAGGGTCCATCTATTGTGATCAGAATGATCATTAGTGGTAGCTGAGCACCATCTAGTTCTTCTGGTCTCTGGGTAGATGAGGCTATGGTTTGTGTAGACTATTAGTCCTATAGACTTGTTTCTTCTTTGAATCTTTAGTTTCCTTCTTTCTCTTGTTCTGGAAGAGTAGAGACCAATAGCTGTGTTTTAGATGACAACTTTCAAGCTTGTAAAGCCCCAGTTACCCACTGAGCTAACATAGTTTGAACGTAAGGTTTATGAACTTGTTGTTGTAATTATTAGGTGCCGTGGAACTGGTTCTGAATCATAGTGAAGAGTAAACTGCCCGGTCCTGTGCCATCCTCATAATTATTGTCCATTGTAGCGTAGTTTGTGAACCATAGTCCTGATCCTTCAAACCTAGAAAAGCAATTCTTTGAGATATTTGTTTATGTCTAAGAAATAAATGTAACTGTACTCCCGATGTACTTTATGAATATACATGAGGACTTCAAAAAATTCATGGAAAAATTCCGTTATCTTTAATTCTTCTGTTTTCCCACACATTTTTTGAAGCCCCCTTGCACATGCATACAGTCACACAAGTGTCTACAAGGTTTTCCATTTTTCAGAAGCAGATTGCCAGACATTTCCTCCAAGGCACCTCTGCGTAGAGGACGTTGTGGACTCCTCCCAATGCCCTTATTTCCTTCTAAATCATATGTGACTTCCTCACTTACTGTGTCCATTGTTCACTATTTGCCTCACTCTAGCTTATCAGTAGCATGAATTATAACAAATTATGGATAACACTATGAAGAATGGAAAGTCCAGAACACTTAATTGTGTTCCTGGGGAACCTGTGCACAGACCAAGGGACAGTTGTTCGAACAGACCAAGGGAATAGTGGGTGGTTTAAAATCAGGAAAGGTGTGTGTCAGGGTTGTACTCTTTCACCACACTTATTCCATCTGCATGCTGAGAAAATCATCTGAGAAGCTGGATTACGTAAAGAAAAACGTGGCATCAGGATTGGAGGAAGACTCATTAACAACCTGCCATACGCAGATGATACGACCTCACTTGCTAAAAGTGAAGAGGACTGATAAAGATCAAAGGCTACAGCCTTCAGCATGGGTTACACCTCAATGTAAAGTAAACGAAAATCCTCACAACTGGACCAATACACAATTATCATGAAAAATGCAGACAAGATTGGAGTTGTCAAGGATTCCTTTTACTTAGATCCACAGTCAATGCTCATGGAAGCAGCAGTCAAGAAATCAAACTGTATTGTATCAGGCAAACCTGCTGCAAAAGATCTCTTTAAAGTGTTCAAGAGCAAAGATGTTACTTTGAGGACTACAGTGTGCCTGACTCAAGCCTTGGTATCATCAGGGTGAAGAAGTCCTGGAGGCACTATAGGATAAGCACTGGACTTGTAAGATAGGCCCTGTTCTTGATGGGAGTTGTTGTTGTTGTTAAGTGCCGTCGAGTCGATTCCGACCCATAGCGACCCTGTACAGGTTTTCCGAGGGTGTAAATCTTTACGGGAGTAGAAAGCCTCATCTTTCTCCCGCGGAGCGGCTCGTAGTTTCGAACTGCTGACCTTAAGGTTCACAGCCCGATTCGTAACCACTACGCTACTTGATGGGAGAGGTGGTGACAAAGAGCATAAGGTCACCTTTGTTCAACACTTTGTAAATAGCTCCCTCATTGCTTTCTGTTTTCATTCCCTTTTTTTTTTTTTTTAATCTTTTTCTTTTCTCTTCTTTCCATTTCCCTCCACAATTTCTTTTTCTTTCTCCTTTTATTCTTATTTTTAACAAAGGAAGCAGCCCTTTGCTCCAGGACCAGACTGTGACTCTCAGGGTTATTGGAGCATAGACTTGGCCCCCCGAGAGTAAGCAGCCCCTAAGTTGTGCCCCTGCCTTGGGCACTTCACTGTCTCAGTCTTGCCTCAGCTCTGAGCCTTCTACAGACAACAACATTCACTGAATTTAATATCATCCTCCCAATATATTTATTTTCGCTTTTGCTCTCCACTTATGGAAATGATTTATTTTTGTGGTTGGTATATAAAGGTTTTACGAGATAAATTAATTGGAGAAAGACTTTTTTTAAAAAAAAAAAAAAAAGACAACTTGATTTAGGAAAAAAATCTTTGGTACCCGGAGCTGATGTGCAGAGCAAAAAGATACAGACTCCGTGAGCTGTGGTTGACTCCACAGTTCGGGAGGTGATGAGGGAGACAATGAGGACCTGTGAGCTTGGCTATGGACTCAGACATATAGCAAACAGTGTTCACCACCGTGAGCTAGGGATTGTTGTTAGGTGCCATCGGGTTGGTACCAACTCATAGCGACCCTCTGCACAACAGAAGGAAACACTGCCCGATCCTGGGCCAACCTCACAATTGTTGCCACGCTTAAGCTAGGGCCCCTCATTTTATCTAAGTGGTCTAGGAGGGACTTCCCACATGTTTCCTCTCAGCCACCCCATCCTGTAAATGAAGGTGTCACTGAAGTTTTCTGTGATGTTTGGCATGAGCCGTTGTGTCGAGTGACAAAGTCCAGTGGCAATCACCAGCTGCTGCCACCATGTCTGTCTCTTGTCTTCAACTTCTGCCTGCTAGAGGCACAGTCCTGGAGATCTCACAGACTGCCCTAAACACACTGGGCCAGTTGGACCTGGCATTGGTAAGGAGGCTGGTACCACACCCTGACCTTCCTCCCACATAATCAATTAGATTTGGGGCAGGAAGTTAAGCTGGGTCTGTCAGACAACTCCTGTGTCTCTGCCATGGCTAGGTGGTGGGTCTGCTATTAGATATTGTTTCAATATGGCAAAAAAAAAAACAAAAAAAAAAAACTATCACTCTTTAGTCCCCTGATTTCCCCCTTCTAACCTCTGGTCAAATCTGTGGTATTAGTTATTTATTGCGGCATCACAAATTACCATAAACTCAGTGGCTTAAAATAATAACAAACATTTTTTAGCTCACAGTTTCTTTGGGTCGGGAGCTGGTGGGAGCTTAGTGGGGCCTACTGGCTCAGGGTTTCTCTCAGGTGCTGGCTGGGGTTGAGTCTCATCTGAACACTCAACTGGGGAAGGGGTCTACTTCCAAGCTCACTCACAAGTTGTTGGCAGGATTCAGTTCCTCTTTGGCTGTCTACAAGAGGCCACCCTCAGTTCCTTGCCAAATGGGTCCCTCCCTCCACAGGGCAGCTCACAACACGGCAGCCAGCTTCATCAGAGTGTGCAAGAGACAGACACTGAGCAAGACAGATGTCATAATCTTCTGTAACTTAATCTTCTGACACCCATCACCTTTGTTGTATTCTATTGTTGGAAACTAGACCCATCCAAACTCAAGGAGAGGGAATTACACAGGGAACAGATCCCAGGAAGCAAGTATCCTGAGAACCTTCTTGGTGTCTGCCATACCTGCCCTCCCCCAAATTGGCCATCAGTGGGAAACATGTGGGAGGTCTGGACCCGGATGGAGTTGTTCAGTCCCCAAGGATGGGGCTTTCTTTGAGTCCTCTCTTTTTTGTCTACATGGCCCTCTGATCTGACCCCAGGGGCTCCTGTGACCTCCCCTCTTTCCCTCACACTATGCTGGCCATACTGACTTCCCTTTTTTTGCTCTTGGAAACTCAGGTCCACCTCAGGGCCTTTGTACCTGTTGTTTCCTCTGCCTAGAGTTCTCCTTCTCTGGGAATCCACACGACTCCCCGCTCACTTTATTCTGGCCTCAACTTTAACATCAACTGCTCAAAGATGTGTTCCCTGTCTAACATCAAATTCATCCTTGTGCTATAATGGGTCAGCTCAGCAGGTCTGAGGTGTCCAAAACCTACACATTCCAAAACACCTTGACCAGCTCCTGGTAGATAATTTTTGAGTCCTTGGAATACTCTGCTTGGTGCGTGTCTTTGTTTACCTGGCCATGCAACCATGTGATTTATGGTGGACACCTGGGGCCCTGGATCATACTGTATCAGTTCATCCTCTGGAGACTGAGGGACTCAGGTCAGGCAGGTGGGTGGTCCAGACCCACATAACTTGGACATCAGGACATGACTGAGCTTCCCTGGTTGACACGACCTTGTATTCGTTGTCCACACGATCCCATGGAGAGCGGACACCTAGAAGCTTGTTCCTGGTTTCCCTTGGACTCTATCCTATGCACCTTTTTCCTATGCTGATTTTAATTTGTATCCTTTCACGGTCATAAGCTGTAACTGTGAATGTAACAGCTCTTCTGAGTTCTGTGGAAGCTTCTAGTGAATCATCAAAACTTAGTGTGACTTTGGAACGCTAGGCATAAACCCCATTCCCCCAGCCACCCTCTTTTGCATTCTTCTTTGTCGTCACTGAGTGGTATGTTCTTGTTCATTTGTGCTTTCCTATCTCTCTTGAGGGCTCTGAGAGCCAGGACCTTGTCTGGTACATTTGCAAGATCTAAGCATTAGATCAAGTCCCGGATCTAATGCTTTCTGGTCATGTGGTCTGGGATAAGCAATGTCCTCTGTTCCAGTCTTACCATCTATGAAATGCGAACAGTTGTTTCTCCTTCATAGGGCCACTAGGGAATCAATAGGCTAGTGGATGAGCATGGAAGAAGGTCTCCACAGCATTTTTTCTATGTCTAGGTCACTCTGTTTCCCAGTGGCTAAAACAGGGTCTTTGGAGTCATGCTCGATAAAAAGCAAAAGAATAAAAGACTCCTCTGGGGCCTTGGTGGTGGAGGCAAGAGGGGATGTAAGGCATCCAGATGGTGTGGAGGGGTGCATATAGGGACCGGAGATGGGAGATGCCAGTGGGGACCAGCGGTCAGCCTGTGATCCAGCCACACACAGGCTCTGCCAGGGCTATTTGGGGCTCCCATCCCCCAAAGAGGAGCAGAGCCTGCTATGGACACTAAGGAGGAACCCACAGGAGTGGCTGGGAGGGAGCGGGCAGGGAAGGCTAAGTCCCACGGTCTGGGCCACCAGCAGGAACCGCGTGGGAGATCTGGACCCGGATGAACAGCTGGAGCCGTGGCTGTGGGAGTCTGCGAGCAGCCAGGCCCAAAGCCTGTGTCAGGCGACGTCTGGTCGGCATGACTTGGGAGGATGCCTCACTGCCTCTGAATGCCTTGGACATGTCGCTCAACTGCACTGGACTCAACCCTCCCCGCTCCTCCTGAGGAATGTGCCCTCCCTATCCCAGCCTCCAGATGCTTCCACATAAGGCCTCAGGATGCTCGTGCCATATGAGTTCAGGACAAAGGAATCAGAAGCACATGGACCAGATCCCCAGGGAGGGCAGTTTTGGAACAATTCAGAGAACAGAGCGTGGCAGCGGAGCAGTGGGATTCTGAATTGGAGCAGTCTTGGCCCCTCTGGACACCCACACCACCCAAGTTCCTCGGCTGGGGCTGAGAGCCACTGAAGATCAATCGGTGTGATCTGGGTCGTTTCATCTCGTCCCTCTGAACTTCTCCATTGTTCCAGATGCTCAGATCAAAACCCTGGACTTACCTGTCACTCTGTCGCTGCCTCTCTTTCTGTCTCTTTCTCTATTTCTTTTTCCTTTTTTTTTTTTTTTAACTTTTTACTGTGAATTGAGTGAAAGTTTACAGAGCAGATCATTAATTTTACATTCAACAAATCACATGCTTTGTATCATTACAATGATTGCAATCCCCTCCATGTACCAACAGGTATTTGTCCTTTCTTGATTGACTAATTTCAACATGTCCTCCAGGTTCGTTCATGTTTTGAGGTGTTTCACAGATTCATCATTATTGTTCAACATTGTGTAGTATTCCATTGTGTGTATGTATCAAAATTGGTGTAACAGGTCTTCTGTTAATGGACATTTAGGCTGTCTCCATCTTTTTGTCTCTTATAGACAGCACATTGAAGGATCCAGTTTTCTTCTCCATTCTGCTCTTTTTGTCCCCCTCTCTCTTTTTTTAAATACGTTTTTTTGTGTGTGAATTGAGTGATAATTTACATAGGAGAGCATCATCGGGTTTACATTCATCCTATCGTATTTTGTTTCATTGCAATGATTTCAATCCCCTTCATGAATCATCATTCAACAGCATTTGCTTCCATTCCCTCTGGGTTTTTTTCTTTTTTTTTGATGTACACCAAAACACTCAAAAATATATAATCATTTAAACAACCAAAGGGTATACCCTGCATGCCAGCCCCTGCTCCACCCCAGGCCACCAGCACACAGCCCCTCTCCCTCCCTGAGTTCAGAGTCCCCAGCCACTCTGTCTCTCCTGGTCTCTGCCTGAATCTGTGGCATCACTGCTTCTGGATAGGGTAACGCACTCCCACTCTTCTTCTCCCTTGATGGTCCCAGGGTTCTCCCCTCCTTTTGTTACAAAACAGTTACCTTTACATTTGCAACATTCACAATCAGTCCTGATAGCAGTTATTCACTGTTGAACCACAAAAGTCTTATCCCCATCTCCTTTCACCAGTCCCATATAGACAGATTGGAAACCACTCAGTGGAGATTCTACCTTCCCCGCCCCCCCTTCTGAAACTAGGCTCCCTCTTGAAAACTGGTAAGCCAGTCATTTCGTGCCTTTGTAGCCACCCCGCCCCCCATCATTTTGCTCTCTCTGTCTCTTGACTGGTGCGTTTAATCTATTGACATTCAGGGTAATTATAAATGATTGCTGTCATTCTGCAGAGTGCTTTTTGTGAGTGTGATAATGCTGGTTTCTTTGTTCCACATAATTTTCTGCACTGAGTTCATTTAGTTTGTAGGTTTTCTTTTCATTTTCATTTCTGTTGTGTTAATGTTTACTAAATTTTCCTGATTTCTCTCTTTTTTTGATTTTTTTTTTTTTTATGTGAAGGTGTATTAATTTTCTTTGAGGTTACCCTTTAATTTATTAGTTTTTCCCCTGCTTATAACAGTCTGATTATCTTGAAATCTACTTGACTTTCTTGCCATTTGGAAGTTCTGTATCTACACTCTTACTTCTTTTTGCTTTGTAGTTGACATTATAATAACTTGTTATCTCTGATTCCCTATTGTCAGTCTTGTAGGAAGACTTTCTTCAGATTTTTTTTCGTTATTTTCTCTGTTTTTCTAGCTTGCTAGTAGTATTGTGAGATTTATCTTCAAGCTTGCTAATTTGGGCTTCCATCGCTTCAAATCTACTCCTTTGCCCTTACAATGTATTGTCGATTTCTGAAATCTTCTTCTTCTGGATTTCTAACTGCAGGGTTTGTATTGTTTCAAAATTTGCATTTATTTTGTCTGTTTGCTTTTTGTAGCATTTTCCTGAATTCTTCTAAATTTTTTTTTTTTGTGTGTGTTCTTCTTCCTTTCCTTGATCTTTCTGTCAGTCCTTTGAAGGTACCTAGATGTCATTCTTTTTCAGTTAGATCCATTACCTTTTCTACCTTAGCAATGTTTTTTGACTCTGCGTCTTGGTAATTTGTTTAAGCCATTCTTTCTTGTTTCTTCATATAATCTAACAAGAAGGGGTATTGTGGTGTTGTCATAGTTTTATTTGATGATTGCATGTTGATGTGTTCTTAGGCTCTCACCAACTGTCTCCTGTGGGTGTAGTTAGAGAGTAGACACGTGTTCACTGTTCTCCATTGGTACACCTCAGTTTAGGGTGGGTTTAGCTGGTGTTGGCTGCTGTCTGTTGTTGATCAGGTAGTTTAGGGGCTGATAGTGGCGTTGCAGGAGATATGGCTGTGGCTAAATTGTATGGGTAAGGTTGCTGTCTCCTGGTGGGTAGAAAAGAGGAGTGTTCCCACCCTCCCCCTGCCACACACACACACACACAAGTAAAAAAGAATAAACAAGCAAGGAACCAACAATGTAAAGAGAAAAAAAGAAATAAAATCAGGCAGCAATGAGAAAAAAAAGAATGTAATAATTACAAAGAGAAAAAAGGGACAGGAAAATGGAGCCACAGAAGAGAAAATAAAAGGAAGAAGAAGAAGGAAGAAAGAAAGAAAGGAACCACTTAGAAAAACCCAGGAGAGGGAAGATGAAATGAGACACCCGTACAGAAAGATCAAAAGGAAACAAAAAGAAGAGGGAAAATGAGAAACAGAAAAGAATGCTAAACAAAAGCAGAGATAGAAAGGATAAAATTCAAGGGAATGGAAAGAGATGAAGAAAGACTAAGCAAACAAAACCAACAAAATCATGAAAGGAAACAAACAAACCCCAAAACACCAGTGTAGCTGTTGGATCCAGAGAGAAAACTCTGGGGGGGGGGGCTCTTGCTAACCAAGGAATTCATGAGGGATGTGACAGCCGAGTTTCTGGCCCTAGATGGAGCTTCTTTAGGCCTACTTGCTATCTAGGGTCAGGGTACTCAACCGGGAAGTAGTTCATGGAGACCCTTGGTGGAGCTGGTTTCAATGTCTATTAGGACCCCAGGGCAGCTGGGGGCAGTGTGGCTAGCTATGAGGGTCTCTGCTAGACTAATACTGGTTTGGTGGCTCTGTAGGTTCTATAGGTCTGGAGCCAAGCCCACCTGAATCCAGGCTTCAAAACAATACAACTGGCCTCACTTTACAGGGGTGTGACTTCCAACCATGTGGCTCAGAACTCCCAGAGAGCAGGTCTGGCTGGGAATGGGTGATGGTGGGAGCTGGCCAAACCTCTGATCACTAGGGGAGTGTGGGGAAAAGGAAGGAATCACACCTTTCTTGTTGCCTCTGGGTGAATTTTCTCTGGCAGACCATCATCTTCTGTCGCCAAAGCTGCTCAAAGAAGTTTAAGATGGCCGCCAGTTTCCCTCTCTCCCCATCCCTGCTCAGTTTCTCCAACCAGCAAGTACTCAATCCACTTCTCTGAATTTTCCTTTGAAGTTTAGGGTTTCAGAATTTCATCTGTGTCTGTTTTATTTGGTCTCTTATATCTTTGTGGTAGAGGGTCTGTATAGTGCATTGCCTGGTTTGCCAACTTGCTAGAAGTCTTGGCAGTTTGTTTCTGTCTGGTTTGGTCTTTTTTCCTCTCTGCCTCAACCTTTGTCTCTCTGTTTCTCTCTCTGTCTCTCTATCTCTGTCTCTGTTTTTTTACTGTCTGTCTCTATCTCTCTCATCAGCAAATACCAAGGACTCTACTTTTAAAATCTGTGTGGAACCCACCTACTCCTCAGCCCATCCTAAGCTCCCACCTCGCCTAGCCCCATCATCCCTTACCTGCATGGGTACAGTCATTCCTCCTGGTCTCTTAGCTTCTGTCCCTACCCTCCATCCACCCTCTCTGTCCCTTCACAGCAACCCCCACACCTGAGTCAGTCCCATCCCTCATCTTCTTGAACCCTCCATGGCTCCCACCTCACTTGTTGCTGAAGGTAAAGCCCTCCCTTTGGGTCACAAGACCCTCCACGTTTCGTCTCCATCTGCCCTCACTCCCACCACTTCCATTTGGCTCACTCCTTTCCAGCCCCACTGGCTTCCTTATGCCTCACCTCAGAACTCCCACCTCAGAACGTGTTCCCTCTACCTAGTTCTCTCCCCTAGAGTTCCACAGGCGTCCTGCCACCTCAGGGCAGCTTCCCTAACCCTCTATTTTAAATTGTGCTCTTCCCTTCCGGGTTTTATTTTTCTTAGCGCTTTCTACAGATTTTATTCCTTGATCTTTTTCCTGTGAGATTGCCAGTCCCAGAGGATGGGGACATTTGTCTGTTTTGATCCCTGTGGTGTCTCCAGTGCCCAGAACAGGGTCTGGGACCCTCGTCCTTGTTGAGCGAGGGAGTTGAATGGTGACCATCTCATCTGCTTTGCAGATTGTTGGGAAACTTGTTTTTAAATATAGTTTGACTCAGATGTCATTTACATCGCATATAATCCGCTCATTGTAAGCATGCAGTTGGATGATTTTTAGTAAAATTTTCAAGTTCTGCTGTCATCGCCACAATTCAGTGTTTGAGAACATTTCCATCTTCCCCAAAAGTTCCTTTGTTCCTCTTTCCCATCCACCCCCCTCCTACCTCAGCCTCAGGCAATTACTGCTCTACTCTGGGTCTCTATTGCTTTCTTTGCCTTTTCTAGAAATTTCTCATAAAGGGAATCATACAATATGAAATAGTTGAGTCTTGCTTCTTTCACTAAATGTCATGTTCTTCAAGTTTATCCATGTTGCTGCACTGACCACTA